AAAGATTTTTGTGGTACAACCTGTACCAGGAGACTTGGGTGATGCTCTTTATTATATTGATATAAGGCTCTAAGAATTTAAGAGAGTTCATTTTACTAGGATTAGTGATATTGATTTAACCCTCACACTGTCTTTATGTGAGCAGCACCTCACCCCTGCCACATGGACCCTCAAGGGATAAACCATCAACCCTGCTCAATGGTCAACTTTCCTTGCGGGGTCACACTCATTAGGACAGTGGGAGGGATATAAAAAAATCTTTGTGTCTTTTTTATTTTTTGTGAAAAATTTTCAACTTTTACTCAGTTGTATTTTCTCGATTTACCGGTCGATCCACGTTCCTACCCTCACCTATGGTCATGAGCTTTGGGTAGTGACCGAAAGAACGAGATCGCGAATACAAGCAGCTGAAATGAGTTTTCTCCGCTGAGTGGCTGGGCTCTCCCTTAGAGATAGGGTGAGAAGCTCTGTCATTCGGGAGGGGCTCGGAGTAGATTTGCTGCGCCTCCACATCGAGAGGAGCCAGTTGAGGTGGCTTGGGCATCTGGTCAAGATGCCTCCTGGACCCCTGGTGAGGTTTTCCGGGCACGTCCAACCGGGAGGAGGCCCAAAGGGAGACCCAGGACACGTTGGAGGGACTATGTCTCTCACCTGGCCAGGGAACGCCTTGGGATTTCCCCGGAGGAGCTGGCCCAAGTGGCTGGGGAGAGGGAAGTCTGGGCCTCTCGAATGAGGCTACTGCCTCCGCGACCCGACTCCGGATAAGCGGATGAAAATGGATGGATGGCTTTTTTTTTTCAACATTCGTTCATTCATTCATTCTTTCAAATAGTGGCCTGTGGGCCATTTCTGGCTCTAGAGTGATTTTGTCTTGGCCCAATTCTAGAAGGGTAGCCTAGGTCGGTTACATACATAAACACAATCATTGATCGTTTTAAGAATTTTACGACTATTTTGAAAATGGAAAAAATATATGTGAAAAGACCTTTAAATTAAAAGGTATTTGTGTTTTTTGCTTTTACTTTAGCGTTATGGTAACTGACTTCTACCAAAAAGCACATTTGTGAGCACCATTTTTAAAACTTCACTAAAAACAGCAAGCGTTACCAAGAAGAGCATGACCTATATCATGTTTTTGTTGCTGATAGTAGACTATCATTTATATTCAAAACCATGAATTAAAAAAAACAATACGTCCATCCAATCCAGGGAATTGAAAACCCATTTTTACGTTATATAAATTAGACAAAATGTTGCAATTTGATTAATTTTTGTATTTTACATTTTTTAAATAACAAAAATAATTTTTTTGTGGTTGACAAGTTTTTTTTAACTTGGTGATTTTTGCCCTTGTGTAAAGTTTAGAGCTTTTTACCATCTTATATTTAAATCGCTACTTTTAATGCAACAATTTTTCCATCCTGGTCAGGAATTTAAAAACAAAGATAATTTCATTCATCCAACAGTCAACCTCCGCAGCTCTGAGGCCATGACTGTTTCTGTGAAGCAATAAAAGCCTTCACTAATAACGCTACATTCATCAGTGGAACTGTGGGAGGACGTGACGAGCTTCCTCCCTCTGTGACGATGAATGAATGAGCAAGGATATACAATGACCTCTAGGGAGGCCAGGCAGCCTTTCGTCACTAACCTTTCAGCTTGTGACAGGCTTTACACCGCTCATTTGTTTGCTGACGACAGCTTAACACTGGATTAACAGGTTCCCAGTCAGAGTATTAATTATTGTAGATTACGCTTACCTCTCCGAGGAGATGTGCGCATGCAGCTTAGGTGAAAGGGACTTCTTTTTTGTTCGAACTTATTTAGTAAAACAATGAAAGCCCACGTTCTATTTCATGTTAATGGCATTTATTGAAATGAACGCATGGTGAATACAGTTTGGTTCCTTCTCTATGTTGGAGTGCAACGGAGGCCATTTTCTAAGACGAGCGGTGAAAAACCTGCACCCAGCTTTCTGTACAGTCTCTGAGTTTGCACAATGTTTGTTCACAGAGCGTATCTTATTGTTTGCTGTCACGGTTCTAGTCACGGCATTGTTCGGACAAAACCGAGGTTTCAATCAGCCTCTATCTACCCGAAGCCGTACCAGGAGTCTTCCAAAATTGATGTTTGTCAGCAGCAGAACTAAAATGAGTGTATGATGGCGATATCAGCAGCCATGTCTTTGAAAACACCATTACCTCCATGTCACGCCTCAATCACTACCCATTGTGTGATGACCCCCACCACCATTTCCCCTCACCTCAAAGCGGATCTCCCGTACACGCCAAAGAAGTATATTACAGCCAGTGTAGGGAGACGCACCGAGCCATAATGGATGGCCCCGGAGCGAAAACAGCCCCCGATAGCATATCAATTACCCATCAGCACCTTGCTGGTTGGATGCCAGTCAGTACCACATGCCAACTAAGTCAATGAGACAACATGAAAAGGCAGATGTCATTGACATCATATGAACTGACGTTCGACGGGTGAAAGATTTTGAGAATTATTTGTGAATGTGGATGGAGCAGTGGTCGTTGATGTCCACAAGCACTCAAATCAGCTGTTTTTCACAATGAAATCTAGTGATTTCCCAGACTCATTTGCCCAGTGGAAGCCCAGCTGCTTGCCCGTTTTATCTTTTCGCCCTTTTGATTGCTGTCCACATGTCTTATTTCACCTCTCAACGAATCCTGTAGGTGAATGTGTCCCTCAATCATAGTGCTGCTTGCCACTGCTTCTGGGCAACACAACTTGGTCGGGCAAGTCGGTTTTGCACACGAGGACGAGCACAACGACACGTCCTCACACATACAGATGAGTCGATTCAGATGGCTGGCATTACTGCAGCTGTGTGGCCTCTAACGGCCTGTTGATGTGATTGATAAAAGGCAAACAGTCGCTTTGCAAGGTGGGGACAGATGGAGGCACGCCTCCCACTGAAGCTTCAGATGGAAATCTCTGAAGGTGGAAGCAGGGGTCTTTGACTCTTTCATCGTCAAAATTAAAGAAACTTTGATCCTCACAACAAAGTTAGAATATAAATTCCACAAATCAAAATCTCATCCAGGAGAGATGGGCTTCTTTGATTACTAATCGCTTTCATGTGTTTTGATTTTTCTGGGACTGCAATAGAGCTGTCAGCTTGTGAGCGGGGACTGATTGTCCTGAAGGCACGAAAAAAATAAAACACGTTACATCAAACTCCGCTCCCGAAAATTAAAAGAAAATGACAAACGTTTGAAAAAGCGTGCGTTTTTTTCCCAGGAAACATCTGAGGAATCATTTTAGAAAAATCAAAGTAAATACAAGCATACAACAAAAGAAGATTCAACATGGTAATACAACAATACAATACAACAGTTTCTCAGTTGTGTAAGACATATGTCCTCATTTCTTTGCACATGGTGCTAAATTAAATGACCATTAGAAACATCACAGGCTCACAATAACAATTAGTGGCCATGCTAATAAAATATTCTTCTTATAGTTCTTAAAAGTGCTTTTGTTTCAAACAGCAGCATTTTAGAGATAGGTTAGGACTCCCAATTACTGAGAATTTGTTCACAGCTCAAACCAAAGAATTACAGGAAAAAGAAATGAAAAGGACAAGTCAAGATAATAATTCTTCACACTAATTCATATAAAAAAAGACTTATAATCAAGGTGTTCAGCTGTCTCTTCTGCGAAGAAAGTTTGATCACATTTGCCTTCTCTAAAACAACGTGAATTGTTCACCAATAAGTTACCAGAGTTACGGTTGTTTTCCGGCTTTTACGTAAAGGCTGTGACTCGTTGAGATTATAAAACTAAATAAAATCACAAATTTTAAGTTGGAATATCACCAAAGTGGTACGCATGTCACCTTTGCAAGAAGTTTTATTTAAAAGCAATTTCTTATATAGCACATCTCAACATAAAAATCACGAGGCACTTCACAAGAATAAAAATCATTTAAAAAAATTTAATAAAAAACTAGAAAAAAAGGAAACATTCTAAATGTGAAGGAAGAATAGAAAAAAAAGAAAACGAATAAGAAAAGGTAATCACGTCATCCCGCATGAAAAAAAAAGGTAGTGAGGAAGAATCAACTAAAGGTCACACAAAGGTCAACCAAAATATGGGTGGGCCACATATGGGGCATTTGACAATTAGGAATTACGAGCAAAATATGACACCCGTGCAAATATTCTTGTAGCAATCAAGTAGCATTTTTTCCAACCCTTCCAGTGGTTTCTGATAATTTCTGACTAACAAAAATAAATTGAGAACAGTCTGAGGCAAAATTCAGACATCCAGAATAACAGCATCTAACTGCAGACATCAAAGCGAGGCTGTGATACTCGTGCAAGAGAAGTGAGATTATTTCAAACATCTTGGAATAATTTTTGGAACTTCTCACCAACGTATGCAGCAAAGGCTCAAAGGGATACTTTGCAACTTTTTTAAATTTTTAAATTATTTTTATGATCCACTATGTGCTAACATAAAAAATTGGAAAAAATTGAGCTGACAGACTCTGCAGTCTGCTTCCAGCACGTTTCCTGCGTGTTTTAGATCATGAACACTGCTGATTTATTTAATTTAGTGATGAACCACTCCTGTAGACACTAAGGAAGGCTGGGATAAGTTTCAGCTGTTAGATTAAAGTGTTGAAAAGACAAACGCACAGCGAGTAGATACGTTTGGCTTTTGGTTCTACAAGCAGGCACTAGAGGGTGCTAAAAGCAAGCCAAAACTGCTTAGTTCCACTTTAAGCTTATGAAAATTAATTTACATCCAAAAATATTGTAAACATTCATTAAGTTATCAGTTTGTAACGTTTACTACACTGTGATTACAATCAATAAAGCAATTACTGTTTCCGGGACTTTTTTTCTCCTAACCCCTCGTGTTGTACTTTTCTGCTTGCACAATAAACATTTTAATTGCTCCATCTGCAGTACAGTCCTCACTAACATTTTTGGGTATACCTTTTTTTTTCTGTCTATCTCCAGCACCACCAAAGTTTTTAAGAACCCCCAATGACCAAACAGGCGTACAAGGAGGTGTGGCATCCTTCATCTGCCAAGCCACGGGAGATCCGCGGCCGAAGATTGTGTGGAACAAGAAGGGGAAGAAAGTCAGCAACCAGAGATTTGAGGTATTAGGTCTATTGTTCTGATGTAAAATGCTCGACAAAATGAGAATGCTTCAGCACAGCTTCTGGCTCTGTTTGCACACAATAACCCATCGCTACAAGACCCATTTGGCTTGCTTTTGGCTTCCACTCGCCACAACGCATTAGTGAGCTCTAATAATCATGCTGACCAGGCTTTTTAAACGTGCATGACGTTAACTGAGAAAGTACACAAAAGATCCAGAAACAACAAATGCAACTGAAGGAATTTCAATTAGAAAGCAACTGGATTGAGAGAATAAAACAATCCGATGTGACCCAGATCCATACATTAGGATCACGCCACATTCACCAGTCATGCAAAAGGAAAGGGAAAGCAGCGCCTTCCCTTCCAAACACCCTTTTGCTTTGTGGCATCTTTATCTTAATGCATGACCTGCTCTTCTTACTTTGGCCCAAGCTTCGCTTGCTGGTCAGCTTAAATTTGCACTTGGGCTCAGTCCCGTCACCATATCATAACAGAGCGCTGATAAGATTTCTATTAATTTCTGTGTCAGTCGTCAGGACTATTGGAATGCTATTTCTTTATTTTTTTCCATCACTTTGCTCCAGTTGCCATATTTGTTAGCTTCTACAAAGCATCGGTGGCTTAATGGAGCTCAGGGACCTCTTCCCACCTCTTTTTCGCATCTCATGCCCACAGAAATCTAATCTTATCAGAGTTCATCGCGTTTGCATCGCATGCTAACACATTCGTTTTCATTCACCCGTTGCCTCACGGGGCTTGCTGGCTGCTGCGATTCTGTACCCATTCAATCATGCGCTGCCACCTCATCTTCTAACAAAAACCCATTTCCTTTTGGAAACCCCGCAACTTCCTTTCTAATTTGCCTTTGGCTCGAGCTAAAGAAAGGAGGCTGTTTTTTTTACCATCACCTGCAGAAACCCTGAATGCCAACACTGCTTTAACTCGGCCAATGAAATGTTAAAGTGTTCTGTTAACATGCTCAGATGTATTGTGTACTTGAAAATGTTTGTAGGCCTGTGTGTGTGTGTGTGTGTGTGTGTGTGTGTGTGTGTGTGTGTGTGTGTGTGTGTGTGTGTGTGTGTGTGTGTGTGTGTGTGTGTGTGTGTGTGTGTGAGGGAGAGAGAGAGAGAGAGACAGAGTGTAAAAGATCTCAGGCCTATCTTTATTCAAATCTACCTCGATGCTTAAAAGAGATTGAGTTATGACACAGAGCTTTCTAAAATCAGTGAGTATAAAACACGTAGCATGCTACGATAGCTGAATAAGCTACAACCAACACCTGTTTGTGAGCATTTTATGTTTCGTCTGTCCCAAACAGTCGGTCCTGTCTTTCGTACCACTACCTCACCTCATGGTACAGCTGTCCGTGACTAAATTCCAAAGCTACGTCTTAAACTGTCTGTGCTCGTTTCTGTCCCATCGACAAAAATTAAGTGTGATCCATTTATATATCAGGGGATTCTGTGTTAACTTTAAGAGTGGGAAACATTTTGATTTAAAATTTCACACTGCAACCCAAGATCTCAGCAAATTATTCCGGAGCAGCATCGCCTCCCCCATTCTTAAAGTTTGTCAGCAACATCTGCTACTTTACAAGTTAACGCACAACGTTACACTGACTAAGAAGGAATAAAAAAGAAAATGGTGGACACATACAAGCAATCAAATTCTTCACAAATATACACCAAATCACTATCTTTCACTTAAAGGTAGGCAATGGCTTCTGTTTATGTCATAGGAAGCACATTTTGTCATCATCAGTGTTGTTTAACTGTCTTCTTTTTGTTTTGTTTTTATATTTTATTTACTGTGGAAGGTCCCGAACCCATTGTGAACAAAAAAATCTCCTTTAACATATCCTGTCTCTCGCACCTGCAGGTGATTGAGTTCGATGACGGCTCTGGTTCCGTGCTAAGAATCCAGCCATTGCGCACGCCCAGAGATGAAGCCATATACGAGTGTGTCGCCTCCAACAGTGTTGGAGAGACGAGTGCTACCACCAGACTGACTGTTTTACGTGGTAGGTCCTTCTCCACAACCTAAAAAGAAATTAAAAGAATGTGTACTGCATTCAGTACAATGCAAGAGTTATCAGTCATTTCTTTGTGTTTAGCTTCACATGAGCCAGACTTTTAAATCTTTTAAAAAGGTCCTGATCAAAGAAAAATACTTCAAAGTTTTCTTTGGATGCTTCATCTATGAATGTGACTATTTACTCTAGCCACGACCCATAGACAGAACTCAGTCGTGGGGCGGAATCTACGGTTGTCTTTCAGCTGCAATCGAGCCTGCAAACTTACTGGACAACCCACTCTACCTCCTGAGCTACTGCTGTCCCAATTTGTCCCAGCAGATGTCACAAGCACTGGTGTGTGATGAAATTTGTCCTCCGTTTTCGATCCATCCCCGTGGGGAGCGGTGAGCTGCAGAGACGGTCGCGCTCGGGACCAATTTGGCGGTTTAACCCCCCAATCCAACCCCTTGAAGCTTAGCATCAACCAGGGAGGCATTGGTATGACCCAACTGGGATTTGACCCATGATCTCCCAGTCCCAGCCTGGACACTCATACCACTAGGCCACTGAGCTGTTGGGCACATCACTTTTTCTTTGAGTTGATTTTTTTACGACCGACACTTTCACGCTTCAAGTTAAGCAGTTCAGATTGGGTCAGACAGGGTGTCAAACAGGAAAGCAGTGTAAAACATCTGGAAGCTTTCAAAATAAAATTCATGCGCAGATTTCCAGTTGCTTAACTAGTAAACAAAATGTGCAATTTCCTGTGAAATCTCTGAAGCCCAAGTAAACAGAACTTATATAAAATAAACCAAAGAACTTTTTGGATACATGCGGCCATCTTTCTCCATGCTTGTTATCACGTGAACTGCCCAAATCACACGTTGTCCTGCGGTTCTCTGGTCATTTTGTGACCTCACAGGACCATCTGCGTGGAACGTTTTTTCGTCAGAAACTCTACCGGTGGGAAGGGAGCTCGTGGGCGAAACACTTCTATTACGTTACGTTCCGCTAGTCCAGCCGGTGGACACCCAGGGTTAGGCTCTACTCCGGACATTTTTAACTTGGAACAGGTCTTCATGGGGGTAACTGCCACTGTAATACCAGGTGACTGTGAACAGGACAAGCTTTGTTCACACTTATGCTGAAAAATAACAGTTTAGCATACAAATTTATTATTTTGCACCCTGAGCTGAAAACTTGATTTTACAGTATATAATTAAAGAAGAAGCATTGTGGATTTATTTACATATTTTTGATATTTTTTGGTACAAATGGCAAATTTTACTATTTTCAAACAAGTTGATATTCAAAAACTGTAGGTAGGTAGATGTTTTTTCATGTAAACTGCGTAATATGGTCAAATAAAAGACCTAGACGGAACGTGAGTTTTTAAAGAAGCAGCTGAAGTCTAAAGGAAAACCTTGAAGACCATTTTGAAAGATCACAAGAATGTCTGGGAACTCAGGAGCAAACTTAAAGAATGAGAAGCTGATTGAAAACTTTTGCATAGTACTGTCCACACACGCACCACTGATGTGCACTACCCTCCAGCTAACACAGGTAAGGTTGCTTTAATCTGTTTAACATTTCTTTCCTCTCCTCTTTTTTCCATCTGTCACCTGATCTAAACTCGTTATGTTCTCTGACTTGATCAGATTTAGTCCATTAGCTCTTTAGCCAAGTAAGTTTTCCTTTGTAAGTGACTTAAGTCATTTGCATACAGATTTCTGACACAATAATTAAGATGCCAGTTAAATTATGCAAATAGCTGTCCTTTCCTTGCCTGCGGTGGTTTAATGAAAAAGCACAGCAATAATTTTCAAATCAGTCATTTTTCATCTTGGCTTTGATATTCATTTGACCGTGCAGGAAATGCAGCAGCATGCTCGGCAGCACCGTTTGTTTTCCACACGCTTATCCTGTACCTTCTAGTGATCAGTGATTGTTTAAACCCTGTTTTTTTGTCATGTTCTGTGTCCCTGTGGTCCCCAGCCCCCTCCAGGTTTCCCTCATGTTCTCCTAGTCTCTCCTCAGTTCTCGCTCCCCACTTAGATCATTTGTTTACTTATTTTTAGATTCCCCTGTGCCTTTGTTCTACAGGGTTTAAGTTTAGTTTGGGTTGTTTTAGTAGCTTTGGTTTATAGGTTTAGGATATAGGTTTCTCCCCTGCTTATTTCTGCCTCTTCCCTCAGTTCATTTGTTTCACCTGTGCCCAATTCCCCATGCACCTGCTCCTCGTCTCCTAATCACCCAGCCCCTGTGTATATAACCCTGTCTGTGTCTCTCAGTGCTTGTCGGCCCTTTGTCGTTGTCAGTGTTGTTCTGTACCTCCTCGTGAAACTAGGTTTTGCTCATCAAAGAGCTTTTTGTTTTTGTTAGTCGGGTTACTGACTTTTGGCTTGGCTTCCTGCCCTTTTTGGATTTTTGAGTTTTGGACTCTCTTCCTAATTAAAGGATTTTAATTTGATTTTGCTCCTGCCTTGTGTCGTTCTTGGTTTCTGCATCTTGGGTGCTAACCTCCTCCATGGCTCAACGTGGCATTTTTGGACAAATACCTGCCACAACACAAGCGGTAAAGGTCAAGTGGGTTTAGAGCAGCCAGGGCAGGATGTCAGGTGACCCATATCAAGAATAGTGAGCAGCATTTTATCTTGATTACACACAACATTCCCTCTCAAAGGCTAATTTTGTGGCCCCAAGCTGAAAAGACAGCCTTATATCGCTCCAAACACACGACTTTGTTCGGCCGCGAATGGAGAAGACGCTGTTAGAATAACAAGACGTGGGTTGTTTGAATAAGGTGCGCTCTATTATGTTTCACAATTACACAACATGGCAAATGAGTTCCCCATTGAAAGGGGTGCTGGCTCGGCGAGTCTCTGAAGCCCCCCCACCCCTTATCTCCACCAAAAGGCCCTTTGCACTGTCTCCAGAGGCCGATTGAAAGAGAACGGTGGCGCGTTCACGTGCAGCTCTCTCCTGTTTCGTGATTGTGTGCATATTTGTGTATAAACATGCACAGGTGTGTGTACGTCCCCTTACTCTCATGCAATTCTGCACACAATTCTTTTTTCCTTTCACTCTTGCTCTATCTCTATTTTCCCCTACACACACACACACACAACAGCAGATAGCTGAGGGACGGATAGAAGCTGCTCTTTCCGGCTTCGCGGCCTAGCATTAGCATGTTTATTACTATTTCCATTTTGCTCTCCTGCTCTTTTTCTCTCGCTCTCCTCCTTTCCCATCAATGTATTGAGGGCGAGTACAGACCTATCAGGCACCAAAAAATAGAAAACCAAGAGTGGGATTTTTCTTTTTTCTTTCCTCGGCTTTTGTGCAAATACGAAGCCGTGTACCAATCAGCCTGCAAGTCCACATATACAAAAACTTCCACTGTGGAGGATTTGGTTACCAGTTGCTAATTTTTAATGCAAATGTGCATTTATTTAACTTTTTTTCTTTGATATTAAGTGCTGGTATTTTGTCTGAGCCATGCATCAGCGGTTCATTTAAAACTTAATGCACATGAGAAAACTGAGGTCGCATTAACATCATTGACAGCCAAACCAATCAATCAACAGATATTTACCATCTTTTATTCAGGTATTTACTGTGCTTGTTTATTTTCGCCTAAATACCAAACAGAAGGCTACAACTAGCTGAGTTTTTTATTTATTCCATCCATTATCTAAACCCGATTGTCCACGTAAGGTCACGGGGGCAGGTGTCTATCTCCAGCAATCTCTGGGCAAACAGGCAGGGCACACCCTGACGGGTTGCCAGTCCATCGCAGGGCAGAACAGAGACACACAGGACAAACAACCAAGCGCGCACACACACACACACACACACACACACACACACACACACACACACACACACACACACACACACACACACACACACACACACACACACACACACACCTACACCTAAGGACAATTTAGAGAAACCAATCAGCCTGCAAGTCATGTTTTTGGGCTATGTGAGGAAGCCGAAGTACCCGCAGAGAACCCACGCATGCACAGGAAGAACATGCAAACTCCATGCAGAAAGATCACAAGTTGGGATTTGAATCCAAGACCTTCTTGCTCCAAGGCAACAATGCTAACCACTGCACCACTGTGCAGCCCTCTTTATATATTTTTAATACATTTGGAATTGAATTGAATATTCAGTTCAGTTTTTTATATAGCACCAAATCATGACAAGAGTCGTTTCAAGGCACTTCACAAAGTAAACTTTCCAATTGAGTTCCATTAATTTTGCCAACTAGTTAAAAGATTCCCTTGTGAGAAAACCCAGCAGATTCCATCAAGTCACTGACAAAACTAAGCAAACATGTAGTGACAGTAGAGGGGAAACCTCCAACTGATCCTGGCTCAGTTTAAGCAGCCATCCACCGTGACTCACTGGGGATTTGAGAAGACAGAGCAGACACACACACACACACACACACAAATGTATCTAGTACTCAGTAAAATAAAAGCTTATTTACATAAATATTTAAGTTTTGTCAGATTAAAAAATTATATGCAAGGTCATTAGAATTTTTAAAATAATTTGGCATTTTGTATCAGTAATCAGCTGCTCTGATGTCTAGAGACTGCCATCGGCCTTTTGATAACTCACACCATTGACCTCTATTTGACCTCCATACTCACAGCTTGACAAATCAACTACAATGAAGTGTACTGACGTTTTCTACGTTGACACCAGAAAATTTTCGTAAAATCTAGTATTGATCAATTACTACTTTTCTCCAATATATATAACCCCCCCCCCCCAAGCAAATATATATATATATATATATAATATATATATATATATATATATATATATATATATATATCACTTTACGATAAGAGTCCCGTTTTAAACGTTACCGTTATTGTTTACTATTAAGTGTCCCTAATATTAGGACGATGGGCCAGGGGTGTGTCTGATGCATTACCTAATATGGTTAAGCAGTTGTTAATGTTAATACTTTACTTAATAGT